AGGGCCATCTTCCAGGTAACACCAAGAGTGTGGATCTGCTGGAGAGCAGGAAGGCTCTGCAGAGGGATCTGGACAGGCTGGATCCATGGGAAAAGGCCAGAGGGTCAATAGGACCAAGTGCTGGGTCCAGCACTTGAGTCACAACAACCCCATGGAACACTCCAGGCTTGGAGCTGGTGCCAGGTGGGAAAGGACCTGTAATGGTTGACATGAGCCCAGGGAACGAAGGCTTTACTAATTGCACTTTAATAAAGGGGGAGCATTGATGCCTCGGAAGCTGTTAACGCACACCGTCAGGCAGAGCATACAAAGCCAGCTTGATCCTCTAAACTTAGGAGAGTAAGCTCATAAAATGAGTTAGTAGATGCTAAAATCATGGGCAAACACATCATGTATGTCCTGGTTTCAAAATGACTCTCCTTACCTGCAGCTTGGCTGCTCTCCCTTTTCCTGAGGGCGAGTGCTTTGTCCCAGTCTGTGGCAAAGCCAGTGAAGTTTTCTGCTGCTGAAGGCTCTACTTTCTACACAGTGTGACGGTGTAAGCTGGTGAGCTCATATCTGTGTGTTTATAACATGTCAGTTGAGAGCCCTGGAGGATTTTCTAGTCTTTGAAGTCATGTGGGAAGTAGCAGATCTTATCTGGAAAGTGCTCTCCACATCAGGAGTCTTACCAGACGTATTTACACAGGCACATGGGGTGGATGTTGGAAAGCCCAGTGGGAAGGCATGTGCCTTGTCCTAAAGCAGTGATCTTGGAGCTGCTTTGAGGAATTGTGGTTCTGTGTCTGTAGAGAGCAGGGTGAGTTCACCCATCCCAACACAAAATGGGGCTTTCTTGGGTGTCTCTTCTTAAAAGATTTAAAAAGGAATGATGGGACTGAAATCCTGCTTTTTAGGGTGTTGCTTCCTCCACCAGGCATTTGCAGTTTTATTTTTGGCATGTAGTGACTCCTTCAGGGATCAAAACCACACACAGCCCTGAACCAGGCCTGCTTGCTTCGATTTGAAGAAGGGGGCGTTCATTGACTGTTTCAATTTGGACAGATGTCTGAAATTGTACCACAAGCCAAAACTTTGACAAAACTTGTTCCTATCATGGAAAGGTGTCCAGAGTAACTCAAGAGTAACTCAAGAAGGTCAAAGACGTTTTGAGTTCAAGGGAAGTGAGCTTTTCCTTTGAAAAGGGGGACAAGGATCGCTTTGGCTTCTTTACACCAACCTCTCATTTGCAATGTCCTTTCCTACGTCTGAAGGGCTCCCCTGAAAAATTGTGTGGCTGTGAGCAGTGTCTCTGTGCCATTTATTAAACACTCCTTTTACACCGGATTGGGTATTAACACAAACAGCAGCTGCCCTCCAGTGCTGCCTGGAATTGTTCCAGTCCAGGTTGGACCAGGCTTGGAGCAACCTGGTCTAGTGGAAGGTGTGTCTGCCCATGGCAGGGGCTGGAACAAGATGAGCTTTAAGGTCCCTTCCAACCTGAACTGTTCCATGATTTCACACCACCTAGAAGCTGGTTTCTAGCTGTAGTGCTGCGGCTTTATCGGTGGAGGAGAGGTTGTGACACAGATTTGGGGGTAAGTGTTTGGAAGTGTGTAGGATACAGTGCTGTTGTTTTTTTTGCTTAGCTAACTGTGCTGCAAGTAATTTCCTTTCAAGCCTGTGTCTTTCATTAAATAACTGTTCCTGTGTCTCCAGCTGTATTGTAGTGAAATCAATCCTGGAATTGAGCTGATTCACCATTAGGGGAATATCTCCATGCGGCTCCATTCAAATGGAAGTAACTTTGAGGAGCAATCTTGCTGAGTGGGTGGAAAGGTAGGAAGGAATCATTATTAAAAAGTTTGCATCATGGCAGGAAGTCATCCCAGTGTTCTGAGCAGCCTTTAAATATTAATGTGACTGACAGTCTGGTCTTCATTCTTCTGCTGCTTCCCCTCCAAAGCCAAGTGCTCTGCTGGTCCTCAAAGGCCATATTTGATGCCATATTTACTACTTATGTTTAAATAGTTGGTAAGGATGGTGTAAGATCTTTGTGAGAGCTGGTATGCTGGCAGCTAGGCTCTGCTCCTCAGCTTGGCTGTGATAAAGAGCTTCTCAGAGTGCTACTGCTGCTCTGAATTCCTGTTTGCAGGAGGCTTTCAGCTGAGAGAGGATGGTTAGTGTTTGCAGACTGTCAGGCATGACCTTTCCATCCTTCTCCCCTGGGAGACCTGATCCAGATGGGGAGCGGGGGAAGGACGGAGGCATAGGAGCTCATAACCATTAACATCTTACTTTGTGAGCCAGAAAATGTGTGGTGGGACTTGTGCTTAATTTGCCTGAGGATAATGGGGCTGCTTGTCCCATCTGAGATGTGCTGAGCAAGGTATAAACTGGGCAGGGTTTGTGCTCTTGCTGGAGATTTCTTTGTGTTTCCATTTTGGAGGTTGTAGGTCACAAATTACTCAGTCTTGATTAAAATAATGACTTTGATCTCCAGGGGAAAAAAATCTTCTCTGGCTTTGGTGGGTTTGAGTGTGTTTTCCAAAGTGTTACTTATTTTTCACTCTTAGAATTCCTGTGTCCTACTCATCTTTCTTAGTGATCCAACCCTAGGAACACTCCAGCATCATGGAATCATTTAGGTGAGGAAAGCCCTTTGAGATCACTGAGTTCAGACATTCTCCCAGCAATGCCAAGCCCATTACTGAGCCATGTCCTCAAGTGCCAGACCCATATGTTGTATTACATGGAATCATGTATTACATGATAACTTTAACTGGAAGTAAAACATTTAACTGGAATGTTCTATGTCTACTTCTCTTGCCATAGCAGAGATAGACCAAATAGACAGACAGACCAAAACTTCCCATGCTTCAGTTTTATTTTTGCACATTTTTATCAGAAAGACCTGTGTGAGTAAATCTACCTACTACTAGAAGTCATTCTCACATTTGGTTTGAGTTCAGCAGTAAAACTTTTCGTGTTGTTTGTTTTGAAGCCAGTGTCTCCTCCCGGGACAGCCTGGGGTGGGGTCCAGTCAAAGTGATTTTCTGATATCTGATAGAGCCTCATCACTGCTCCTGCTGGCTGGTTTCACAGGGCAAACACAGCTCTGCTGTGTCTGTGCCAAGCATGGCAGAGTGTGTGGGGATGTCTATGATGAAGAACCAGTTCAGCCAGTTCACTGGTAACGGATGCTTCCTGCTAATCCGTATTCACTTCTGAGTATTAAATCTGGAATTAATTTGAGGGACAAGTAAAGCTTGGTAATGCTAAATAATTTCATGTACATGAACATCTCCAGCTCTTTTGTCTAGGCCAGAGGTGCTGAATCGCAACTGGTGTTTGACGCATTGCTTAGGAGCGTGCTGGGAGCTTGTCACTTCAGTTTATGGCCAAACTGGTGGTGTGGCTGAGATACAGAGCTTCTCAGGTGACCCAATGATTGTCAGACCTCCTGGATATGCTGCAGACATGCTGTGTGACATTTCCTGCAGGGATCCACAACTGTCCCAAGTGACAAGGAGAATTCCAGTACCTAAAGGGGACGGACATACAGGAAGGCTGAGGAGGGATTCTTGTTACAAGAGCAAGAAGTGATAGGACAAGGGGGCTTTAAGCTGAAAGGATGTGTTTAGATTGAATATTAGAGGAAAATTCTTCCCTGTGAGGGTGGTGGGGCCCTGGCACCAGTTGCCCAGAGAAGCTGCAGCTGCCCTGTCTCTGGAAGTGCCCAAGGCCAGGCTGGACAGGGCTTGAATCAATCTGGGCAAGTGGAAAGTGTCCCTGCCCATGGCAAAGGGTAAAATGAAACAAAATGGACTTTAAGGTCCATTCCAACCAAACCATTCTGTGATTCTATAAATACTCAAAAACTGGAATTTCCAACGGGTAGTTCCCTGCATTTTGTGTATCCAGCATGAATGACTTTTGCCTTCTATCCAGGTGCCTTAGGTTGAATGAAAAGTCTCCAGAAATAGAAGTGTTCCACAGCTGGAGGCCAGGGAAAGCATAGTCAGATCTCAGAAGGGCTCATGCTTCTGTTCTGTGTGGATGTGTAATAATCCTAGTCTTTTATTTTTGGATAACTGGAAGGAGGTACCTTAGCTTCACCATCTGGTGGACCAGAGGATCATCATTAAATGGGCCAATGCCACGTTAATGGTTGGACTTGGTCATCTTGGAGGTCTTTTCCAACCTGGATGATTTCATGGCAAAATGAACAGAAGGAACTCTTGCTAAACCTACTACAGGGGTGTTGCTGCTTTGGCTCCTCATTTTGGTCATCTGTGTAGGACAGCAGTTCAAATTAGCAAATATATCTGAGGTCAATTTGAAGTTGGGCAAAGTGATTCCTGTGGGTCCCTTCCGACTTAGGTTATTCAGGATAAAGAGGTAATAGCAAGGAGGATTTTAAGTGCTAAAAAATTTTCTTCTCTTGGCACCTTTCATTGGCCCCTTTGCCAATGAAAGGCAAAGTATATTGTTTGTATTTATTTGTCTTGCTTTTCTGTAGTACTTGATAAATGTAAGAAGTGAGGAAAAACCAAACCTACTCTTCACAGGGGCTGTGAAGGTGGAATGTGGTTTCCTTGCAGTGTCCACCTGACGTGCTGGTGTAGTTGGAATGGCTTTGGTTACTGCGTGTGGAGTCAGTCCTGATAACTCCAGTGGAATCATGGAATTACAGACTGGTTTGGGTTGGGAAATCCCTTAAAGCTCAGTTGGATCTACCCACAGCCATAGGCAGGGACACTTTCCACTAAACAGGTGAAACCCCATCCAACCTGCCCTGAGACACTTCCAAGATTGGGATAAGTAGGAACAGATGGACAGCACTTACTTCATGACATCAGGGCTTTTTATCAGAAAGTTGTTAAGAAAATGATAACGTTTTCATATAGCTGTTAAATTCCTCAAGGCCGGAAAGTTCTGGACATTGGCCCTGTTGTATCTTTCTCACTTGGTATTTTAAAATAATGATTTTTATTTCCTGTATCTCTTCTTTTCCCCAGGTAAGAAACCAAAAGCAACCTGCCTTTATTGAATTCTCAAGAACACAGTTGACCCTTTGGTACATTATCAAGATGCATTAAGAAACTGGATCTGGTGCCAAAAGAACTCCATGAGTTTCCATGACTCTCTTGAACTCCAACGCAGATACTTTTGGATATAAATTTCTGTTCTAAGGAGAAGAGTGTGTACTCCCAACTCCTTTCTGCCAGCTTGCTGGCAGAGGTATTTCACTAAGATCATGGACCATCCTAATAGGGATAAGGATGAAAGGCAGCGGACAACAAAAGGGATGCCAGGAAGGAGTGGGCACAGTTCTCGGCCGAGCTCATCGGCATCTTCCGGCGTTCTTATGGTGGGACCCAACTTCAGAGTGGGCAAGAAGATTGGGTGTGGGAACTTTGGAGAACTCAGACTAGGTAAGAAGCAAGCATTTTAGTGGCCTGCATTATGCAAATTAGTATTTCACCAGTGGATTATAAATGCATAGAAACTTATCCTGGCTCGAGAAACGTGTGCACTGTCTTATTTCCCAAGTGTTGAGCTGCCTTATCCAAAGCTTCTGACTCAGATGTAACTCTTAGCATGATTTTGATTTAAATAAAGTCAAAGGGAATACACTGGAGAGGCCAAAGATGCAAATTTTGAACAATCACAATAAATGATGACTGTTAACAGCACTGAGTATCTTGCCTAAGGTGAAAAAAAAAAAAATCATAACTCTGAATTGCTAAATCTTGCTGTCAATTTTTTGTTTATAAGCTAGAACACCCATTTAAAGAGATAGGTGAGACTCTTTCCTAGCACTCAGACTCAATTCCATGTCCTTCCCTAACCTCACTGCCCTGATTTCAGCCCCATCACTCTCTGCCTGCTCTGTCTGTGCGCTGGGCTTGCTGGCGAGGAGCAGGATGTGCCGAGTTGCCATCTGGCTCCCTCAGCCAGCCCAGCAGTTTGTTCATGGTCTGTTGGTTTCCTAACCACGTCTTGCAGCTGGTTGCCCAAACCAGATGGTTCCACTGATGCATTGTTTGTTTAGGGCTACTTAAGAGACCAATGCAGAGCAGTGCACTGGGCTCTCAAGTCATCCTAAAAAACAATGCTTGTGTTTTAAATGAGGTGAGGGAAGCAGCTGATGTTGCTTCACATAATTAAAGGGTCATAACACTACTGATAGTGTCTTTGTAGATTCCTGCTCAGAATCTGTCATCTTAAATGAATCTGTGTGATTTCCCACTCTGAGGTTGGGTTGTTGCATCAATATATGTGCTGCTGTTCCATGGTGTTAAGATCAAACAGCTCGTGTCTGGTGTGTCTCAGTGAATGGGTATTTTGGTTTCAGCATTGCATCAGAGTTTTATTGATTCACCTGAGCAGAGATAACACTCCTAAGGTGAAGAGAAACCAAGGGCAAGGGTGGAAACTCCCACCTTCCTGCACATGAGTGTAATTGGCAGCTAAAGACAAATTTGGATCCTTACAGTGACATAACATGAATTTCTCTATTGGATTCTCAAAGCCCTCCCAACAGCAAACATCAGGATCTCAGGATCCCCTGAGACATGTTGAATTGCTTTGTAATCCAAGCTCTGCTCTGAGATTTAGCAGCTGTAGTGGATCCCTCTGGATACACAGCTCTTGAGTTTATTCAGCTGGTGCCCAAATCACAGAATCACAAACTGGTTTAGGATGAAAGCCACCTTAAAGCTCATTCCATCCCACCCCTGCCATGGGCAGGGACACCTTCCACTATCCCAGGTTGCTCCAAGCCCCCTCCAGTCTGGCCTTGGACAGTTCCAGGGATCCAGGGGCAGCCACAGCTGTGGCTGGGCACCCTGTGCCAGGTCCTCACCACCCTCACACAAAACAATTTCTTCCCACTATCCAATCTAACCCTGCCCTCTGGCAGTGGGAAGCCATTGCCCCTTCCTGTCCTGTCCCTCCATCCCTTGTCCCCAGTCCCTCTCCAGCTCTCCTGGAGCCCCTTCAGGCTCTGGAAGGGGCTCTGAGCTCTCCCTGGAGCCTTCTCCTCTCCTGGTGAGCATCCCCAGCTCTCCCAGCCTGGCTCCAGAGCAGAGGGGCTCCAGCCCTGTGAGCAGCTCCGTGGCTCCTCTGGGCTTGTTCCAGCAGCTCCACGTCCTTCTGATGTTGGACCCAGGGCTGAGGCAGCTCTGCAGATGGGGTCTCACCTGAGCAGGGCAGAGGGGCAGAATCCCCCCTCCCCTGTTGCCCACACTGTGGGGAGGCAGCTCCTGTTTTCATGATTCTTTTTCACATTTCTCAAAATTTTAGCAGTCTTGGGTTTGTGACTCATGTACAGTTTCATGGCATGGAGCTTACAGAAGAGATTTAACTTCTGAAAAAGTCAGTTTACAGAGAAATTCAATTTTAAATTGCAACACCTGCTAATTGAGTATTTATTTTTTTTTTATAATACATGTATTGTTAATGCTAGTTTACAATATTACAAAAATGTAGGCAATGAGCCACACGTACTGATAACAACAATTTGTTGTAAGGTTCTTACAGAAGCTGTATTACTCTTTTTTTTTTTTTTTTCCATTTCTCTTGCTTTTTGCCAGTCACTATCACTTTAAGAGCTCCTATTTGCTCAAATAGCAGGTATTTCTCTTGCTCAGCCCATGGCAATTATCGCTGGGGGGAAGGAGAAGCAGCAGCTGAAATCTGAGCACACACGTCTCTGATAACAGTTTTGTCCTGTGAAGATGAATGAGGTGCCCTCTGCTTTTTGCCCATTTTTTACGTGGTTTCAGAGCAGTTAAGCACCAATATCACAGGCAGAACAAAGTCATGCACTGATAAAGAAAGGGAAAATAGTTTTTTCCAATTCCCTGAAGAATTTCTCTCTTTCGAGGTGTTGTGTTTTCAGTTTAAGCTGCTCTTGTTTGATCCTTCAGTGAGGAGATGGCACTTACCTTAGGAAGTTCTTTGCTGTATATATCCAGCTCACTGCTTAGGGTTGGTCTTTCTTCCTGAAAATACACATCACTCAAGGATATTACTTTTTTGGAGTATGTGGGAGCAGGACAGTTGGATTCCAGCCCTCAAGGAGCTGAGATGGGGAGATGAAAAAAAAAACACCTTAGTGTTTGATAGGACACAGGAAATGGCCACAAGTTGTACCAGGGGAGGGTCAGGCTGGATATTAGGAAAAAAATGGCTGAGCATTGGAACAGGCTCCTCAGGGAAGCATTGAGGTCATCATTCCTGGAAGTGTTCAGAAGAGGAGGAGATGTGCCACTGCACAGTGTGGTTTAGTGGGAATGGTGGGATTTTTTCAAATGTTGGCTTTGATGATCCTGGACGTCTTTTGCAAACTTAATGAATCTGTGATCTGGCCCAGAGTAATTACTGAAACAGGGTAAAGCAGTAGCTACTTCTTCAGACAGGCCACCCTCTTAAACTGACTCAAGAGCTTACCCAGGAGGTATTCCTTGTATTCTCCCAAAGTCCTTAACCATGAGCCATGGTAGGGATTAGTAGGGCCCTTCAAAAGTCTTTTTTCCTAGTGTTTGGCACCCTTATTGAAGTAAAGCAATTAAAAAGGCACTAATGTAAAACTGTTATTGAGGTTTTGGTAGGTTGGAGGGATTTCCAAGATAAACATTAAGTTCTTGTTTCAGCAGACTTTTTTTTTAATCAGAGAATCACAGAGGGGTTTAGCTTCAAACTCATCTTTGTCCACCCCCCTGCCATGGGCAGGGACCCCTTCCACTATCCCAGGTTGCTCCAAGCCCTGTCCAGCCTGGCCTTGGACACTTCCAGGGATCCAGGGGCAGCCACAGCTGCTCTGGGCCCCTGTGCCAGGGCCTCACCTCCCTCACAGGGAACAACTTCTCAATATCCATCTAACCTTGTCCTCTGGTAGTGGGAGGCCTTTCCCTGTGTCCTGTCCCTCCATCCCTTGTCCCCAGTCCCTCTCCAGCTCTCCTGGAGCCCCTTCAGGTTCTCGCAGAGGCTCTGAGCTCTATCTGGAGCCTTCTCCTCTCCAGCGGTTCACCTGGAGCCTCCCAGCCTGGCTCCAGAGCAGAGGGGCTCCAGCCCTCAAAGCCTCTCCATGGCCCCCTCTGGACTGGCTCCAGTAGCTCCAGGTCCTGCTGCTGTTGGGGGCCCCAGAGCTGTACACCGGAGCCTAGATCTTTTTGCTCTAATTAAAACATTATCTTGAATTTTCAAAACAGTGTGTTCAGGTATCATTTTAAAATGGCAGTTAACACAGTTTTTCACCCTGTTTGAAACTGGAAAAATGTTAGAAGAGCAGCAGGCCCCAAACCAACAGAAAAGCTGCTTCTTTGTAGGTCAGAGCAGTTCCATTGGAACTGGGAAGGTGTTCCCAAAAGTGTGAATCACACAGCTGCCTCCTAGGCTGCAGTCTGAAGCCAGGAACTCTGCTTCAAAACAAGTAAACCAGTAAAATAAATACTTAAAGGTGATAATAGTATCTGATACTGGGGCTGTGATTCCAAAATAAAAAGTTGTTATTTGACAGGAGTAATGTTAGATGTGGAGGGCAGGGCAGGAGTAGATCCTGGGAAGCACCTACACCAGGAGCTTTTATTTTCAAACCTGCTCTAGAAGGGACAGCAAATCAGGCATGTCCCAAGTACCCAATGATATGGTCTCTGTAGATGCATCACTTTGGAGATGCATCATTTTGGGCTTCTCTGCTGTCTCCAATCCATCACCACATCTCATTACCAAGGCCTTGAGAAATCCTCTTGGGGAAGTTTCCCACATGAATGCTGGTGGCATAATAACGCATCACTTCTCCTTTGGAATATGTAGTTAATAATTGTCAGTGGAACTACCCAAAACTGAGGCATGGACTTACTACTCCATCAAAAGCATTGCCTCAACTTGAAGGCTTTTGCCAGCCCAGTTACATCCCCTCACTGTGCTACAGATGATCTTTGATTGTGCGAGGTGAAGGTGGAGCTACTGCTCAAGGCTTGTTCCCACGGGCAGGGCACTTCTCCTGTAAACCTTTGCTCTTCCATGCAGCCTGTTCTGCCTGGGAGGAGGGAGACTAAACCATTGCAGCTTGGACAGTGTGACAGCAAAACCAAGGCAGAGATCTCAGTCTGGAGCAAGCCAGCAGAGAGATTTTGGGGATTTACTTTCCTAGAGCAGCTGGCAGAGCAAGCATCTTGGGCTGCAGCTTTGGGAAGGGTTTGAAGTTCAGAGGTTGGACCCATTTATGTTCAGTATCTCCCCACAGCATGTGCTCAGAAGGGGATGAACTGGAGGATGAATTAGTTCATTTACCTTTGGCAGCTGGCCTGACATCCCAAGCTGCTGTGCTGCTAATCCCAGTTATTTAACTGAAGAATTTCATTACCAGAGGTATCGTCTGCCTAGTCCTCAGCCTCATGAAACAGACCATAGTAGACTGGATTGAGGCTCCACACACATGGAGGGTGTTGGCCATGTCCTTCCTTGCCTTGGAACAAGCTTGGAAGAGCAGTTTTCCCAATGTCATTATCCTGCATTGGTGGGAGAGCACAAGTGTTGATGGAAGGTCTGTAGGCATCATTCCCAGGGTGGAGGTGCATCTCTAAGGCTGTGATGGAGGTCATGGGATCCACAGGGAGTGGAGTTCTTGTGCCTCCTTCCTTGGGGGTTTATTTTGTTCTTCAAAGCATCTGACTTCCTCAGGAATTTGGGCTGAAGCTTCCCTGCCTCAGTGTACTCAAACCGAGCATCTCCATCGTGTCCTGAGCTGATCCCTCAGTGTGGGCAGCAGGGGAGTGGAGGATTCTGTCCCTCTGCCCTGTTCAGGTGAGACGCCATCTGCAGAGCTGCCTCCAGCTCTGGGGTCCCCAACATCAGAAGGATGTGGAGCTGCTGGAACAAGCCCAGAGGAGCCACGGAGCTGCTCTAAGGAACAGCCCTGCTCTGGAGCCAGGCTGGGAGAGCTGGGGGTGCTCACCTGGAGAGGAGAAGGCTCCAGGGAGAGCTCAGAGCCCCTTCCAGAGCCTGAAGGGGCTCCAGGAGAGCTGGAGAGGGACTGGGGACAAGTGCAAGGATGTGGGGCAATGGCTTCCCACTGCCAGACTGGAATATTGGGAAGAAATGGTTGGCTGAGAGGGGGTGAGGCCCTGACACAGGCTGCCCCTGGATCCCTGGAAGGGTCCAAGGCCAGACTGGACGGGGCTTGGAGCAACCTGGGGTAGTGGAAGGTGTCCCTGCCCATGACAGGGCTGGAATGAGATGAGCTTTAAGGTCCTTCCAACCCAAACCATTCTGGGATTCTGATGTGAGGAGGGGAAGAGGCAATTTCAGAGAGCAAGATAAAGCTGAAGCTGACGATGGGGCTTATTTGCTGGTAGTTAATGTGGAGCAGATAATCCAGGTGTATTTAGATTTCCGTCCCTTAATGTCCTCACATCTTCTCCCCCCCGCTGTTGGCTGGAGCCCCAGTCTGTCTCAGAGGGTGGAGGGGTTTATCTGCCACCTGCTTTTCCACAGATTTGGCCTGTGAGCTCTTTCAATGCTTTCTGGTGTCAGCAGGTTCCTGATGAAACTGCAAAATCTCCTTTTTACCCTTAGTTTCCACTCTGGGCATAATATTATGTCTTTTTCTAAAAGATTGAAAGAAATACATGGAAACCTCCCACTGTGTGTCAGGGGTTAATGCTGGGGCTCAGCTTTCAGCTCTGCTGGCAGGAAACACCCCCTCTGAGGATATTTAACCTCACATTTAAATCCCTGTCCTGTGTTAAAGGTACCTGAACAGGTTGGAGCTATGATGTCTTCTGTTCCTGAGGGATGTTAAAACAATCTGCTTGGTGGGAACTCCCAGATTTAGAGGCCAGAAATACCCTGAGTGATACAGCAGGGAAAGCATCAAAAGAAGTTAAATGCAGAAAACATGAAGCTGGTATAAAGTAAACTAAATTTCCCCTGGTATTTCAGGATTTAAAGATGACTTTGTGTCTTCTCCCATGTTCATAATGTCTTTAATTTTATTGAGTCTCCCTGTGCTGTTGTATCCTGTGCTGAGGAGGACATGGCATGTTTTTTAATGCTGCCACATGGATATGGAAGAGCTGTTCCAGCTCCTGCCTGCTCTGAATGATGTCATTCCCTGTCCTGGGCTTTCTCAGGAGCTGGGCTATCCAAGCATCAATATCCATTACAGGAATTGGAAAATAAATGAGTAAGAGAGCTGAGCAAAGCTGATGCTACAAATAAGCCCTGATAACTTCCATCCTGGATTGCTCCTGAATTTTGGACTTGCTCAGTAAAACTGAGTGAAGAACAACATGACTTGTGCTGTGACATTGATGACAAAGGTCAATGTTTCCCTGAATAAATCCACATGGAGCCTTTGTGGTGGGGGTTTCCTTTGGACAGTGGGACTAGAAGAGGTCAGGATGGGGGGACAGAGGGGGTCCAGGGACTGCCCAAGCATCTTTCCCTGTGGTATCCCTTCCAGAAGAGTTTGCTCTTTGTTGGGCATGAGCCAGGTGGAGGTGGAGTGATTGCTCAAAATCCGTGGCAGAGGGAGCAGAGGACATTGAGTGATATGATAACTGGCAGTGTCAGAACACAGGGGGAGATGTTCCTGACACAGAGCTGTGCATCATTGCCTCAGATCACTGAGGAGGCCCAGGGCTTGCTTCAAACACCAGACAGGCTCCTGGAGGAAAATTCCCCTCCAGCTGTAGCACACATGGTTCCCAGCTCTGGTTCTTTGCACTGGGAGCTGGATTTGAGCTCAACTAGTTGTGTTCATCTCACACTCCTGCCCTTCGTGCTTCCCAGAGCATGATCAACCTCTCCCTGTACATCCCAGGACGAAGTTATTCACTGTCCAGCAGATCCAAGACATTTCCAAAAGCAATGACACTCTGACTCTTCAGTTATTTTTCCCCAGACTTTCTTGGCATCGTGGATAATGAAGCCTGGTGTGTCTGGGATACCTCCTTTAACACGTGCATGGAGCAAAAGTGCTGCCATAAAATACAATTACCTTGTGCTGAGTAGAAGGTGTTATTTGCCTGCCCTGCTAACTGCTGCAAACTGTTCATTATTTTGATTATTTTCAGGCTTATGCTTTGTTAAAGGCAGGAACTTCAGGGGGAATTGTGAAAACAGTCCTTTGGCATCAGTGTCACTGTTTCTCATTGTGCCTTGAGCTGCAAATGTTGAATGTGGAACTAAAAGGGTTTTTTTCTTCTCCATTTCCAGGTAAAAATCTCTACACCAATGAATATGTAGCGATCAAACTGGTAAGTAGTACCTTCAGCTGTCTTTAAATGATTTGTACTTCATGTTAAAAATTCAGACTAAAAGCAAGTTTTTCAATCTGGGCTCAGTGCTGCTCTCAGTGCTCCCCTCAGCTGGGAATGATTTGTTAAAACTAAGGTAAGTCTTAAAAGCACTAAAAGCAGGGAAAAAAAAAAACCAGCCTTCAACCTGCTGGAGGTTTTTGGTACCTAAAGGAACCGTAGCTGCCTTAGAGCAGATGTTCCTCTGGCCAGGTGCCAGTGAAAGGCGCTGGTTGGTAGTGCCCTTGTCACCTCCTGCCACTCCATGGCTCAGACCTTTCCCTTAGAGACTTCAGGAATTCTCCAGTTGTCAGGATGTGTGGTTAGGAGCGTGGCACTGTGCAGCCTGGTGGTCCCTGCTTTTGGAGGCAGGAAGAAGGGTGTTCCTTTGATTAAAATTCCCTGGGGGAGCAGGGCACAGTTCGGTCTGGTGATACTGAGAGACTGCAGATGCAACATGTAAAACAAGATCCCATTTGGTGAAGGTCAGTCTTTCCTCTGGCTGCCTTGTGTTGCAGAGAAGATACAGTCTCATCATCTGTGGAATCTGGGGGATGGGGAACTCCCTAACTTGTAGCTCTTACGCATTTATAAACTCACAGCCTAGTAGTTTGTGTTTAGTCCTTAACTTTTCCTGTCTGTAAACTCAGACTTTCATCAGTCCCTTGGGGTTTCAGATTCGATGTCTTCACCTGATGTGCTGAGTTCTCATGCAAGCACTCTTTAAACATAATCCAAACCCTAAAATCTGAAGTTAAAGTTGTGGTGCTGATTTGATACTACAGCAAACCCCCCAGTTTGCCCAGTTGATGCTATCTGGAAAAATGACAGGAATCACTCTGGTGACAGAAAATCAGGGCAGACGTGGTGCATTAATTGTGATCAAGCTCGAGTGCCTCAGATTCCATATCTCTGGCATTCCCCTTATGATGTGTAATAGATGAAAAATAATTACAGCTTTGCAGGAGGGACTTCTTTTCACACAAGTGTCAGAAGATGTTCCCTAAAGTAAGTAAATAAATAAATGCCTTTGGAGGAATTCAGAAGCCTAGTATCCCAGACAAGTTTGGGTTTCCTTGTAGCAACACCAGGGGCACCTCCTGCTATCCCAGGTTGCTGCAAGCCCCATCCAACCTGGCTTTGGACACTTGCAGGGATGGGGCTGCCACAGCTGCTCTGGACAACCTGTGCCAGGGTCTTATCACCCTCACAGAGAAGGATTTCTTCTCAACATTCCATCTAACCCTGTCTTCTGGCAGTGGGAAGCCATTCCCCCTCGTTGTGGCACTCCAGACCCTTGTCCGCAGTCCCTCTCCAGCTCTCCTGGAGCCTCTTTAGGCACTGGAAGGGGCTCTGAGGTTTCCCTGGAGCCTTCTCCTCTCCAGGTGAGCACCCCCAGTTCTCCCAGCCTGGCTCCATAGGAGACACCCTTGATATGGATGCACATCAGAAACAGTTGTTGCTTTTAGGCCATAGAAAATGTGCTGTATACACAGACAAGTGTTTTCTTGAGGCAATAATGCTTCTAATTTGCTTCCAAAGATAATACCACAAAGTTGTTGCATTGGAAACTATAAGGTAAAACACAGCCGTACTAGTCCAAAGGGTGCTTTTTTCTCCCAAAAAAGTGGCTGCAGTGACATCTCTCAGTAACCTGAAGTTTTTCTATATGGCGGGACTCAATGGCATTTCCTCATGGCTCCCTCAGTCTGATCTGTTTTTCTGGTCACATTCTTTCTTCATTTCTCTTACTATTTTTTTTCCCCAAATAACTGTTCAAGCAGTTACTCTGCAACACTCCCCAGTTTCATTTGCTCTCTTGTGATCCAGGCTTTAAAATCTCAGGTTCTCCTTGTGTGAAGGGGCTGGAATTGCCATCCAATGGCCATCCAGGTGTCCTATGTATGCTCTGTTCTGGAGAAGTTTAAGGAGGGAACAGTAGGAGAAATGGGGGTCTAATCTTAGACAGAGCTCTACAGGAGAAAGAATGACTCAGCCTCCTCAGCAGCAAATACACTTCTCTTACATGCAGGCTTAACTTATTTATCCTTCAAATAATTTGTGGATTAGTGGTGGAGTAGCTGTAAGATTTACTTACAGGCAACATTTTCTTTTATCTTCATTGTTGGACTGAGTCAAAGCACCGCTTCAAGTCCTTCAAGCTGTGAGATCGCCTTCCACCACTGCAGCCCTGCTGTCTCAGCTATTCCTGCCTCCTATCACAGAGCTGGGAAATGAAGAAATTGTGTGATGGGTACCAAGAGCCTATCAGAAAGTGCTGAAAAATTCCATGCTAATGCCTTGTGGTTTCTTTTTGGGACTGAGGCTATACCTTGGAAAACTGCTGGCAGTGTTGGTTTGTGTGGTGTCATTGTGTAGCTCCTGGTCCTGCTCTTCAGCTGACTTGGTCAGGGGCATCTGGTTTATTCTTCTGGGGGTTTTCAAAGCTGCACTGTCCACAGTAGGAATTTCTTCCCTGGGAGAAGCCAGCCTGGTGCCATCCAGCTGCAGTCAGAGCACAAGTACCAGGTCATCCCCTCACAGCAGTGATGACGCTGTTGGTTCGAGCTGTGGATTTTCTCCATTAGGCTGTAGCAATTCAGTTATTTTTACTACAAACATAAAATCTGCCATCATCCCTAAGCCCTTGGCCTACAGGACAACCATCTGTGCTGGTATGATCTTCTCAGAAGCTGCCATGACTCTGGCAAGTGTCCAGAGCTCTGGCTCCAGCAACTCCTGATGCAGAAGTGGCTCAGGGCTGCCTCCCCTGATTTTCTCAGCATCATGTCCTGCAACATCAATCCTTCCCCTTTACATGTTTGGATAAATAAACTACTCCCTGAACACAGTGAGTTCCTGTTGCCATGAATCCCTGTGCTCTGCAGGTGTCTGTAGACTCTCCCTCAAGCCACCAGCAACAATTATCTTAATTTAAATGTGACTTACATAAGAAACTTGTTTGTGTGTTGCTTTGTATTTGCCTTCAGTGCAGGTTCAGTTTTTCCTCCAGAATATTTTTTTACATTGTTTGCTGAGTATTTAATCATATTTGTCTTCTGGAGCTTTAAAACATCAGGAATTTGGTGACCTTGCAAGCCTTTTCCTACCTGAATAATTCTTTGATTAAGTTGAGAAGTAACCAGGAGCATTCATTCCCCTTGCTGGGAAATGGATGGGATGACCTGAACTGATGAGGAGCAGCTTGGCTGCAAGTCAAATTGCCTGAATTCCTGTACAGAATTCCTTCTCCACACTTAGAAAGAAGCCTTGACTGTGGAGTTCACACCCAGTGTGAACATCAGTCTTACAGTGCAAGACTATAGGTCAACAAAAATTGAGGCCAGTATTAACTCCTGTCTCTAGGCTGCCTGGGCAGTTGGTGAACCCACATCCACGCCTATCCCAAGTGCACACTTTTATTGCAAATGTAATTACTCCAGTCTCTTAATCCTCTCCATATTAACTTTATATTTTTAGAACCTCTGTAATCTTGCAAGTTAATGCCCTGATGGATCATAGGCATTAAGTCTTGTATGTGAAGCGCGGATGAGTAACAGCTGATAAATGAGATGGTTTGGGTGCATTGCAGACTTACCCATTTTATTTTTTTGTATTTTGTGGATAAAAATAGGGTATTATGGAGTGTTTCAAGATATTTGACTGACACCTGCCACAAGAAGGGAGAGACTTCTTCCTTTTTCCCAGCTGTCTGGCTGCACTGCGGTGCGTGCTGTGAGCGACTGTGGTCTGATCTAAACCACACTTGTATGACTCAACATTTTTCAAAAATACAGACCAGCAAAAACGCTGTGGGCAATCACAGTGCCCACAGAGTGAACTGGGACTTGAGCTTTTGCAACCTTGGCTCCCCTCTGCCAATGTCCAGGGTCGTTCTTCAAGGATCTTCAAGGAGCTTTGTGGAATGATTCTTGAATTTCGCTGCAATGAGTGAACTTTGTATTTAAATGAGGAGGTTATTTCCCCTCCAGAGAGCAAATCTTACTGCTTTTTGTTCTTTTCTTATTTAAGTGACATGAAATGGTGAAGTCTGTTGTTAGGAGTTCAATCTGGGGTGTTTTAATTATGCACAAATCCTCAAGTATAGGAGAGAACTTCTTTTGGTCAAACTGATTTTAAACAGTTTATTTATTTCTATTCTAGGAACCAATTAAATCCCGGGCACCACAGCTTCACTTAGAATACAGATTTTATAAACAACTTGGAAGTGCGGGTGAGTAAACCCTACCCTAAGCGAATCAAAAGTTTTATTAGATTTCTTTAATAAAGGAATTGCTTTATTAAATCAAACACCACCATAGTATTTGTTGTGGAACTCTGACTTGATCTTAGGGATCTGGGCCAATTCCTTTTAGCCTCACACAAGTTTTGGAAACGATTTGGTGAGAATGGGATCATAATGATGATATTGGATAATTGTGTGGACCTCAAACCTTGAGTTCATGAGGATTCACTGGTATGGAAATACCCCTGTAAGTGTGTTTGTAAAACATGGGAATTGTCAAAGGATGGAAAGTTACTTGTATGTAGAACAACACTTCTTTGGTAGGTGATCTAAAGTCTTTAAACCTAGTAAACTGTTTTCATTTTTCTTGTTAAATTATGAGTGTCCACAAGCCTCATGGCTCCTCTATGCAACCATAGTCTACAGCAAATAGGAGAAAAAGAGAGCAGGATCAGCCAAAGGTGGAATGTTCTATACATTGTTTTCTGGCAGTCTCTGATTTCCCTGATGCAGAATTTGAGTTGTGTCTAACAGTGTTTGGGTTTTTCTTCCCTGAATTTATGGTTGTTTTTTAAGCCTGAGGAGCCTTTTAGCATGTGCTGTTTCCCATGCCAAGGATTTCCTCAGCCTTATGCAGGGTGTTCCACTGCTCAAGGTGAAGTCTCTGTGAAGCAACCACCTTCTCTGCTCCTTCTGTGCCTTGATCATGTATTGACTTTGGGTTTTGACAAGTTTCTTACGTTATTGTAGTTCTTCTATACTTCTGATTTTATTTTTCCTGTTTTTCCTGAATGGAGCCAGCTTCCACTTGCAGAGGATGTCTGATGGACATCAAGAAGTACTTTGGTAACAATATATTACCAAAATACTAAGTTGAACTTCCTGCTGAGTTCTGTTAGCACTTGTAATTTCTGGGACACCACAGCCCACATGTCTTGTGATACATTAATGAATCCCAGTCTGCTTTTTCTACACCACTTGGCTTTCTTCAGTTAAAAGGAATGGCTTTTTTTTGGTCAGATTAAGTATTTTTAGGTTTTCCCCTGTTCCTAAAGAATTTAAGCTTTCCATCCTGTAGTACTTGCTCACTCAGAGCATTCATGGAATTGTGGAATGGGTTGGGTTGGAAGGGGCCTTAAAGCCTATCTCACTTCACCCCCTGCCATGGGCTGGGACACCTCCCACTAGCCCAGGTTGCTCCAAGCCCCATCCAGCCTGGCCTTGGATCCTTCCAGGGATGGGCCAGCCACATCTTCTCTGGGCAACCTCTGCCAGGGCCTCACCATCCTCAGAGGGAGAAATTGCTTCCTAGTGTTTAATCTGTTGTCTTGGAGCATTTGTCAAGGGAATGTTGAGAAGCCTCCTGAACAACCTGACTCTGTTTCTCTCTGTGTGCTCCCACGGGTGTCACACACCCAGCTCTGATGAGCTGTTGGATGCCTTTAGAAGCTCTTGTGCTGCAGTTTTACTAAAACAACTGGAAATTGGCTCAGACTTGAGTGGAGGATGTGAACCACAGTTCTGGATTCACCATGAAACCTGGAATCCAAACAAAACAAATTTTGGTGGGGTTGGGCTGCCAGGAGTAGGGAGGTGTGATTTGCTGCCTGCACCGGGGATTAGGGCAAGAGTGTCTGGCTGGAAAAACAGAGAAATAAATGCCAATGTTGGGGAAATAGAGGGGTTTGTTCTCAATGATGTTGCTAGTGCCAGGCTCCCCATAATGGTCCTTGCTCTGTAACTGCTCAGTCAGCCAGGCTGGAGCTTCCAGTAGGGATGTCTGGTTACTTGGAATTGTCGTACACTTGCCAAACAAAGACTAGAAGTGTCCGAACACATGGTGTGCATGACTCAGAGAGAACAACAGTAGCGTTACATGTGACATTCTGCTCAATAAATTAGCCAATGAATCCTGCCAAATGACGTGGCTGGCTGCAGCTCCCACCACTAGCTGAAGGAGGGAGAGCAGAGGGAGCCTGGTTGTGGCACCACAGGAGCCACCTCGTCCCCTCGGCAGCTCAGTGGCTACATGCAACCGCATGTGCAGCCAGATGGTCCCAGTGAGCTCTAAGATGTCAAAATTGTCATCACCTGCAGCTTTGGGAGAAAAATGGGGTTTTTTTCCTAATAAGAAAAGTTTTAATGGTGATTTCCTTCTTCGATGTTCACAACAAACATTTTTAAATGTGTTACTCTTGGGTAATAGTCAGAGGAAAACTTAGGCTGGAAGGGACCGATCTACTTGGCCAACGCCTGAAGGATGTATGTGGGTATCAATTACCTGCTTCACTTGACATCATCAAAAACTAGTGAAAATAGTCTTTTTTTCCTTTTCCTAAGCTATTCAGTCAAGTTTTGTATTTCTCTTGGTGCAGTTGGACAGAGTAGCAAACAGCCCAGTAATTCAGAAGCTGAATCCTGAGATGAGCTTCCATGTGAGATGTTTCCACATGGACAGGGGATAACTGCCTCTTCCCTTAGCAGTGACTCTGTGGCTCCACGTGCTCCATCAGCTTTGATGTTCCAAGACTTTCTGACAGGCACTGAAGTTGCATCTGTTCCCTCCCAGCAGCACTAGTTTCTCTGCCTGCCACATGGCTCGGATGAGGATCCCTAGTCAGCTTGGATTAGCGAAGGAGCAGACTGGATTTCATGTGTCTCAGACATCTTAAGATGCTTCACACTAGATTAAGTGATGGAGCAGGGAGAAGTTTGTCATAGGGATCTAAACTGTAGGAATGTGGCTCTTCCTGGTGCTTCTCAGCAGCTCAATACTTGATGGATGGATCCACTGGATTCAGAGGAAGTCCTGAGTCAGGAGTTACCAGCTAGTAGATGTCTCTGATGTGCTGCTTTGGATATTTGATACTGTCTCTGATGTTTTAGTGCCTCCTTGTTTTAGGGAAACTAACAGCTCCCCTGTAATTCCCTTCCTCTAACTGGAGGAATGTTTGTGCATAGAAATGGATTTTCATTATTATTTCTTGAACTTTTCTCCCCGTAGAACTCAAACAAGGCCCTGATGCACAGTGACCATCTGTTAGCTGCTTCTTTCTTGCTGTGGAATTAAATATTTAATAACCTAAAATAGTGTCTGAGTGTCTTACCTTCATGTCAGCAGGAAAACAAAACAGGAAAGCGTGGGCATGGAGTCAGAGACCTGATGGTCAGTCTATAGGGTGTCTCAGGAAAGGACATCTTTCCTTTAGGAAATGTAACTCAGGTTTTAGGTAGTCTGGGATACGATCCATTTGCTCACCAAGGTAATTGAAGTAGTTTGTGCAAATCAGTGCAAAACTCTCATCAGTCCTCTAATGCCAGTGTTGTACTGAACCATTTAATGGTTGGGTTCCTAATGATTAATGATTCATGTTCCTAAAAGCCACATGAGCTTGCACCAGCATCCTGGCCTGAGCTATCCCCTGGGTCTTGCTTTACTGGTGGTGGCACAGTCAGCCCTGATGGCAGCACCTCCCTGAGCACAAATATGTGTAGCACAGTCAAAGTGTGATAGTTGTTCCCCAAAATTACCTCTTCCTCTATGACACTCCTTGAGGGTCATGAGGCTGTACCAGGTGTTCCTTCTTCCTTAAGGCTGGTTCCTTGGCTCCTGGGCTTCTCCTTTCTCTGATGCTTTGTACAGCTGCTTGAATCCACTGCTTCCATACTCTGGGGACAAGAGGACCTCCCTTGACTTTTTGCATCTCTAAGTGCTGCCAGAAGCGGTTCAAGTCTCCAACATGTTTCTGGTATTGGATAAGTATGTCATTTGACATATGAGCATTTTTGACATTTGATGTCATTTGACAATGAGCTCATTGACTATGAGCACTTCATTTGTCCCCTGTGCTTGAATTTTGTGGAATAAATTGAGTTACGTATCCATGGTCAAACAGACCCAGCTCCTAGCTCCTGGAATGGTTCAACTTCTGCGGTAGGACAGAGCTTTGGCTTTGCTTGAACTGCCCCCTGCACAGCCAGCAGCATCCCAGGACCCTCCTGCTTGGTTTGGGATGAGTAAAAGCAACTGCTGTTCCCATGGCTTGCAGGAGTCCTGCAGTATCTGGGTCCTGCAGGTGGCACAGCAGGGTGTCACTGATTCCATTGGCTCTGTCCCGTGGGCTCAGTTTACTTGTGGATAACAGGAATGGTCTTTCTGTTTTGAGGCTGATTCCAGATTAGAAGAATCTAATCTATTCAGTAGCTGCTGGAACAAGTGCAGAGGAGCACACAGAAATGTTTCAGGGGCTGAGCCCCTCTGCTCTGGAGCCAGGCTGGGAGAGCTGGGAGTGCTCAGAGAGGAGAGAAGGCTCCAGGGAGAGCTCACAGCCCCTGCCAGTGCCTAAAGGGGTTCCAGGAGAGCTGGAGAGGACTTGGTGCAAGGGCCTGGAGTGCCAGGACAAGGGGGAATGGCTTCCAGTTGCCAGGTGGCAGGGATACATGGGATATTGGGAAGGAATTCTTCCCTGTGAGAGTGGTGATGAGGCCCTGGCATAGGCTGTCCCATCTCTGTAAGTGTGCAAGGCCAAGTTGGATGGGGCTTAGAGCAAGCTGGTCTAGTGGAAGGTGTCCCTTGTGAGGGCCAGCAGCTGGCCTGGAGGCCTCACAGTCGTAGGCAGCCCTGGCTATAGCTCAGCCAGCCTGTGCCAGTCAGGGAAAGAAAGAAACATCTCTGTGAAGAAGGCACTGAGAAGCCAAGAGCTTGAAATGCAAACAGACACCAGCCAATCCCTGACAAGCATGAACACAGGCAGCTGTTGGTGCCAGTCAGCTGGATGGTAACCAAATTTCAGCCAATTAGGATCAACCATGTGGGTTTTTGAAAACCCTATAAAAAGGAGCTGTGCTCAACAGAATTTGCTATTTCCACGTGAACTTGGGAGCGTTAGGTCCCATCTGTGTCAACTGAGACAGTCCCTGCCCATGGCAGGGGGTGAAATGACATGGATTGAGATGGATGAGGTCTCCTCCAACCCTAACCGTTCTGG